TGTATAGGAAGGGGTTTATTGAAAAAATGTATTGGGGGGTTTATAGAAAAAAATGTATAGGAGGGGGTTTATTGAAACAATATATGGGGGACTGGTTTACTGAAAAAATTGTATAGGGGTTGAGACAGAAACATTTGTTGTAAAAAAGTCCAAAAAAAAAATTGTAAATAAACGAATTATTAAAAACCTCCCGCTATAGACTATTAGCTTTTCTATTAAACGAATATTAGATTTCGATCCATTGAATTTAAATAATTAAATATATTTTTAATCGAATTTAATATTTAAATATATATTTTAATATTTATAAATACATAAAATAATATATATTATAATAAAATAAAATATAATAAAAATAAATTTTGATTAAATATAAATAAATTTTATTTTTGTTATTTTTCATTTTTTCTATTTATTAAAAATAATCATAAATTTTTATTTTAGAATATTTTAATACTGCTTTTGATTTATATAAAAAATATAATATTATTAAAAAAAAAGATATTTTTTAAATAATTTTTTTTATTAATTATAAAATATTTATTTTTTTATATTTATTATTAAAAAAATTTAAAAATTTTATTAAGATATAAATTCTTTAAAACTGTCCTATCTAGAATTTGATTGGCGTGCGAATCTTTTATGTCTATCGAAAATCTGTTAGACCATCCACATTGGTCATTTTTTTATATGTCTCACAAATAAAAAAGTATTAAAAACACACTTTCTCTTCCTTTTACTCAACTTTATACATTCTCTTTCATCCTTTTACTCAACTTTATACCTTCTCTTTTATCTTTTTACTCAATTTTTTTTAATTTTATATTTAAACACACTCCTAATTTCTCTCTCTTATGTTTTCCATGAGACACAATCTCTCCAATAATATCCACTATCTCTTCTCTTTATTCAAATTTTATTAATTTTATATTTCAATACACCCCACTATTTCAACCAAAAATACTCTCTTTCTTCTTTTTACTCTAATTTTAATAATTTTATATTTAAAGACACACCCTGACCAATGTGATTCTGGAAGGAAGAGACACGTGGAGGGACGTGAATAAAGGATCGTTAAGAAGAAATGGACGGTGAAGATTAGAAGAAATCGGACGGTGGAGATTAGGAGGTTGTTACACAGATTTATGAAGAATCGTTAGGTCAACGATTCAGCAGATTCATTGTTGTTCATAATAGTTGCAGTAGTTTCTCTCTTTTCTGGGAACTTTGGAGATTTGTGGAGTTGAATCCTTATTCTTTGTAGATTTGGTTCTGTTTACAAGAATCTATCAAAGATAAGAAGACGAATTCGTGTTTGTATCGAACATTGATTCGTATTATCTCGATTTCAATTGAAAAATTGAGTTTTGCGTTAACAAA